TCTTGCCTGCACTAGAAAAACAGCATGGCCTCTGCACCAGGAACTGTGTCAAGATAACGGTATCAGTAACTCTTCCCTGTGTTTTATGTTATACCAAAGGTTTTGGATGTTTTTCCAAGTATGGTTTTAATCAGTTACAGGACAAATAACTTGCTAGGGTTTTGCCAATGCAGCTGTGATTTTTCTTTCCCCCACCCACCCCTTACCTACTATGTAAGTACTGGCAAAATTTGTCATGTCATACTCTCTTATATTTTAGGGCATGTGGAAAATGAGTGGTTTGTTTACTTTTACTAGGAATCTGGCTACAATGCTATGCACATTATCTATTTGAGTTTCACTCTAGCATTTTGGTTTGCATTTTTTCATGGCCTAGAACAAACAAAACAAGTTTTCAAATAACAAAATAAAATGTAAAGTTTTGCATTTTCAAAGATCATGTTTGCATAACAAAAGGAACACTTTTAAATGGCTGGAAAGTTGTGACAATGTTAAGTAATGTATAAAATTATTTTGTTGTATTTTTACCTAGGTGGATAAATTAATGTCTTTTCTCAACTTATATTTATCCCATTGCCTGTTAGAAATCAGAGAAATGTGCTCAAGAAAACCCTTCAGTTTTCTCAAACAACTTTTGGTTAATTTAAAACCATAATAGATCAGTTTCCTTTAAAATACTATTTTGAATACATTCTTTTGTTATAGTATGTCACATAGGAAGGATCATCTTAAAAAAAGCTGGAAACATTGTACTTCAATGGATAGTTATGCCTTTATTAGAGTTGACACACTAAAAAATTGCATTTTCTTAAGAATAATATATTACTGATAATGTTTGCTGCATGGAAGTTACATTGGACATAAGGGGATTGTGTGTCACTAAAGGGCATTATGTGTCACTAAGGAAGGGAAAATATCAGGTGAAAAGGGTGAATGTTCCAGCCTGCAATGGCTTGCATGAAGCAGGCTGTGGTGCACACTGGTGTTGCTTTTGGCAAGAGAGCAAAGTATAACCTTCCTTTGAGAATTAAAATATTAAAAGAACAACCTGCTCTTTGGCACGTATGTGCTCTTCAGAAACATCAGGTTTCAGAAACATCATCAAAACATGAGAATAAAGCCAAACAAGCTTCCTGTGAGAAAAACATGCAGGGACAGCTGACGCAGGGGTTTGCTATCACTCCGTTCTGATGAGCACGTGGCAGTGTGACGGGTACCCACTATGTGTCGTACCTGGTTCTCGTAAGTTTCTTCCTGGTATCTAATAGGAACGTCACCCGAGAACACGTAGGTGTAGACTTGATGGTCACAGGCTATTCCCCAGCAGCACTGCTTGACAGCAGAGACCCGCTTGAATTCCAGCTGTGCATCCTTGCAGAGCTCCCAGTACTGGCCAACAGTAGACAGGGTGTAAACCCTCCCAAAAATGTCAACAGCCCATAGAAGGGAACTGGGCATGGCCATGGCTGAAAGGCAAAAAGGAGATCTGGTAACACTGGTAGTGCTACACACCCTGCTCATCTCAGTTACACAAACCCTTCTCTCCTCCTCAGTCTCCTCAGTCTTCTCTTGGTGCATGCAACACAGGTACAAAGAGGAAGAAAGCTTCTCCATGAGCACATACCTAGTTTTAATCCATGGACATATGACCTGTTGTTGTCAGGAAACCTCTTTCCAAAGCATTCTGGCAACCGCTTTGGGATCTGATCTTCATTTAATATACCTAGGTGGGTATTTATTTAAGTGTACTTAGAGTGTGGTTTCCCAGCAGAGGCCTGGGTGAGTTCTATTCCCGTTGCATCACTCAGAAACCTGACACTTTCTGGGTACTGCAGCTCTACCCTTCCTGTGAGGTGGGTGTACACCAGTCCTCTTAAAAGTCAAGAAAGGCCACTGTTTCTGCCACTTGGCCTTCTGGGTGCCATTAAACTGTACAGATTTTGGTTGTTCTGTATGTCTGACAATCCCAAGTACTGATGGGTATTTTGAACTTTGCCTCCAGTTCTATTAACTCTACGGTGGGGGACCAGGAGGGAAAGGCAGAAAAGAGGACTTTGATCCCACATAATGAAAGAAAAGAGGAACCTCTAACAGCTTCTGATTGGTAGCAAGCAGTGGTACACAGGGACCAACTGGTACCTCCTGTTTGAATGTTGGAGGCAGACCTGGAAACAACTAGGTCAATGGGAACGAACAACACAGTGCATTCATACAGGATTCCAGGGGGATGTTTCAGAATTCTGATTCTTAGAACTGCTGCTGCTAAGTACCTAAAAACCCGGATTCACCAGGTGAGTAACAGGTAACAGTGAGAACACTTATAGCAGCAGAGAACAAGCAAAATTCTCCTATTAGTTGTGGCAGCACAACTATGATGAATCCTCTAATTTTGACTTATTTTTTTCTTCTCTCCTTGTGGCTGGGAGTACACAGGCATGTATTTACTGCTTCTGTTTGCTCTTGGACCAGTCATTTGTCTTCTTTATATACTGCCTTTCTGTTAGTTGAAGTAGGATACTACAAAAGGACATAATAAGTGGGAAAAAAAAATATTGAATGGAACAAAGTGAAGGTGAGGACGAAATTATAATGGGTGTATCACTAGGAAAAGACCATGAAAATAAGCCTTTCAGTATTAGCACTTGAAATTCTGAAGAAAAGATTTTTTAAGAGAGGAAAACACGATGCATTCCATCTTAAGCAGCCAGAACATGAGTCTGGAGCAAAGGCAGCATTACAGATACTGCAGCGAAGGTACCTGCCTAGCAGGTAATGAAGGGAAGTGATGCTTGAGTGTGTTAAAAGTGGGCAGCTATGCAAGCAAGGGCCTGCATCTGGGAGGACAGTCTGGGCAGTCAGGAAGTACCTGGAAGAGTTCAGGAAAAATTCCAAAGATTACAAGGTTTGCAAAAATAAATTAAAATAATCCAGGCACATGTAACTGGATTAAATTTTCAAGACAGCTAAAATATTGCCGAGTACATTCCTTCTTCTGAACTTCTGAGGACCGAGCTTTGGAGAATCACAGGAAAACCCCAAATGAATCTGCGATTATAAACTACTTTTAAGACTTCAGTGTTGGCCCCTCTGCACAGACTGTGCTGCAGAAGATGAAGTCATGTCTCCCTTGATCGTGAAGGATGCTCAGCACTTGTGGCTCATGTGCATTTCAGTAAATGCAGAAGTTGCCCAGTATCCTCAGGGGACTGCGAATATTCAGATCCACGTCTGATAAATGCTTCCTCACCCCTCAGCTCAGCCAGGTCATTCTGAACTACAACTACTGAGATGAAGATGAGATACTGTTAATTGTAATTTCCGTCTGCCTGACATGACACTGATTGCTACAGAATTCAAGAAAAACACCCCAAATCATCTCATGTTAACAAGGTTCCTCCGGAGAGGGGCCGTGTCCCCCGGTTCCTCGGTCCGTGGCGAGAACAGGATCCGGCTCCGGTGCCGGCGGGGCAAACCTAGCCAAGATCCGCACAAACCTGCCTCGCCCCCACCTTCCCACAGCACCCTCGGCGGGCCGTGCCGTGCGTGGGGGTCCGCAAGTGCGCTACGAGCTCAACAACGCGCACACAACACCCGGGAACGGCCCCCGGCGCGGGCAGCGGTGGCGCCCGCTGCTTTCCCAGCCCGGCAGTAAGGCCAGATCCGGGCTGCTGCCGCCGGGGCCGACCCTTGGGCGTCCCGGGCCCGACATGGCGGCCGCTCCCCCTCCAGCCCAAGCCCCCGCAGTAGAGAGGCGGGCAGCCAAACGCAGAAGACAGGAGAGGGTCTCCACTGGTGACGAAAACGCCCCGCACGCCGTCCCCTGGGGAACTGCACAGGGACGCCGGCATCTCAGCACAGTCCCACTCGCCGCTCCCGCCTGCACCGGAGCCGCCGGATGGGCGATGGGGGGGGGGGGGGGGGGGGCAAGAATACGGCGGGGGTTGCTCCTTGCCCTGCGGCGGCCCTATCTCCAGCCGCGCCGCGCTGGGCTACGCTGCCCGCCCCGTTCCGTTCCCGGCGGCGGGATGGCTGACAGCGAGCAGCTCTGCCTCAGCCCGGCCCCCGGGGCCCGCCCCTCACCTGCCTCCCGCCGGCCGCACCTCTCCTCGCCGCCCGGCGCCGTTCACCGGCGGAAGAAGCCACCGCACGGCGCCCGCTGAGGGCAGCCCCGCTCCGACGCGGCGGCAGCGTCCGCCCAACAGCACCGGACGCTCATTGGCTGCGTTGCGGCGCGTCATCGCGCGGCGGGGCGGGGTGCGGAGGCGCGGTGGGCTGCTCTGCGCGGGAGCGCGGTGAATGCAGCGCAATGGATGCAGCCTGACGTTAGGCTTATTCTTGATGCATCAGTAAATGTCCTGCCTGAGGTATAAGGAAGGAGGCGTCCTCGTAGCTTTTGGTAATGCAGTGTAGTAGCAGTCCTTCCCAGAAGGACACCAAAGGTGCTGCTTGACGTTTATTGCAGGACTTAACCCTGCTACAAAATTGTAATCTCCCTTAGGAAGAGCTTGCTTATAAATCTCAGGTTTAGCTATCCCGTTCCAATTCATTCTGAAGTGAGTCAGAAAACCAAACATGATGGGCAAGAACTTCCATGCCTGTCTACTCAAATAACCACAACAGAGATCTGCAAACAAAAGGTATCTCAGATCTTTGTGTACCTCAAAGGTGCAGTAAAGAATGGTGAAAAGAGGTCAGCTTTCATTTCAGGCCTTTCCCAAAGGGAACTGGTGGATCCATTGTGAATCCAGCCCGAGGAGCTGCTGGTTGCTGGTTAAAGAGAACACCTTGCTCTTCTGTGGTTTGTAGGTTCAGATGGTTTTCATGTGCAGAGGGCTGTGGTTCAGAGGGCTGATGTACACATTAAACTCTCTAGAACGAAGCCTGTATGAGGCAAAACCATCCCGTCTGGGCTGTTTCCTTCTGAGCCCCAGGGACACTCGACTGACATTGCTGTGGTTTGGTCCTTTGCCCAGCTTGATGCCACCTCAAAGCAGAACTCATTGCTCCCTAGTTGTGTTTTGATGATTTGATCATTATAGCAAAACATATTTATAAAGATCATGTGATGTTTAGATTATAGGAAATTCATTTTACAAGATCTCTAATATTGAACATACATATGACATGTATTCTGTCCAGTTGCCATTTTAAGCATGCGGAAACAAGACTGGTGGTATTCCATGGGAACTGTATTGCAGAAGAGTTTAGGGAGCATTTTCTGGGATTTTCTCACAGTTTGGATTTTGAACCACAGTCCTGTAGTCTTACAGGATGTCAGGAGGAATGATTGATTATGCAAGGCATCTGCATGCTAAGTCATGTACAACCAGTACAGTTTTCTCATGCTTATTTTAAGGAGGACCTTACACGTGAAAGCCAACAAACACTCTCCATGACACTGGTGACATGTGATGTTTTTGTGGTCGGTGGCTCTGCTCTGTCTATAATTTGATGCAAAAGTTAGGAATGAATGGATGCCTTATGAAGATGCATCCATCCTTGCTTGCTTTGGGTGTCTGGTTCTGAGCCCTGCTTACTTCACTTGCCATTGCTGCAATAGAGACTTCCATTTGGTAAGGAGGTAACAAGAGATAAGTTTTGCAAAACCAAACAGCTAAATACAAACTGATGTTCATTTTGCCATGAGTGGGAACAGTGGGTGTGCTGTGTAACCCTGGGGCACTGGGTTAATGTGAATGCTACTTCTAGTCTGTGCCCTGTGAAGGGTGCACCTGGGTTTTCCCTCAATGGGGCTCTGAGGCCTTGCAAAAGAATTAGAGAATAGTTAGGGTTGGAAAGGGTCTTAAGATCATCTAGAGAGAGAAAACATCCAGATATCTGTCCTTCAGCCCCATGGTTACTGTGTGACTCAGGAGGAAGGATTATCTCCAGTGAAGGAGGTATCACTTGGTGAAGGTCACTGCCCCTTGTTAAATGTGGAGATTTCTCTCAGTTTTGCCCACGATTGTAGCTGTCTAAATACAATCTGCAGTGTACAACAGCACAGCCACAGTTCATATGGAAAATGCAGTTCAGGGAGGTCTGTCCCTGGGACTGGGGCACATCCCTGGCCTGTGCATGGCTGGAGCACTCTGAAATCAACTGTGAACTTTTGAATCTCTTGTTATTACAGAACAGTTTCCTCTGTCCAAAGCATAGTCAAGGTATTTTAGATCCTGTTCCACTGTTTTGCAGAGACGGTTCATACTGGTGGCTTCCCTACTGTCGGCTCTTCCATGCTTTCCTAAATCTCACTTCCCTAAAAGGTGGGGAAAGGGGGATTTTCCTCAACACTTGACTTTGATTTTAGGGAAGTATCTTTCCCCTAATGAGGAAGTACTGCATTGCATTCGTGCTTTAAACTTTTTCTTTCAAAAACCTCATATTTATACCACTACAGTTACAGTAAGCAAAAGCTTTCCTCAGAGTGGGAGCAGTCTCTAAATGTCACTGCAAACTGTGAGCAGTGCCCCTTCCAGATGAGTCAGGCACTGCAAACCGGAGGGAGGAGACGGGAAGCAGAAGGGCAGGAAGCCTCTCACCATCATGTGATGCTGGGACTGCCTTGGATTTTGGCTCATGTCACCTGCATCTCTGCCTCTTTCCAAGAATTTGTTTGATTTTGGGGCAGACTGTTTAATTATTTTCCTTCTTTATGTTTTCTCTCCCCTTCTGATGGAGCGGGACTGAGCTTTCCAAACCACACAGGAGCGGTGTCATGGGACTCAGTGGTTGATGGGGCAATGCTGCTGCCTGTGGTGAAGGAAAAACCTGTGCGTGTTTAAAAAATAAGCGATTTGGTGAATCAGACACCTCAAGGGATGAAGATGAGGGAAGAGGCCAGAGTTTTAACTGTGATAAAAGATATTTAAGATCCTTTCAGCATCTGACCTGAGCTATCCAGCCATTAAGAACTCAGGTTTCAGAAGCAGCCGAGCCCGGTGGAAGTGCTGTTGAAGGTGTTTCTTCAGTTTGCTGTATGGGAGAAAGCAGCACGCCCCTTGCTTTCCTCTTCTTTTCTGCAGTGTTCTAACAAATCTAGTATCTCTTTGAGCCATGTGAGCTTTCGTCTGGTTTTCCTTAATCTCATTTCAAAAGCTTTCCCCATTTTACAACATTCCCATTCTGTGCTGCCACTCCCAGTGTTCTCTCTTCCCGTTAGCTCAAATGCAGCTCTTCCCAGTCGGGATGCAAGTCTGCAGAAGTCACTGCAGGATACAGCACCATTTGCTGATGATTTTTGCTTTTTCCTCAGACTGTGGGTGCTGTGTAAAAGCAAACACATATGCACACAGAATATATATGTATGGACATATTTACATATATGGAGACACCATCTCTCAACGTCTCCATCTTCCCAAAGCTCAGCTGAATTCATTTGGCTACTGCACGATTCAGAGTGGCTCTGGGTGTTACTAGAGATGCAGAATTGCCAACCTCCTGCATCCCCCTTTCTGTCACTGTTCCCGGGGGCTCCCTGGGCTGAGCAGACCCTCCAGCTGCAGCCGACCCCAACATTAGCTGGGATTTAATGAACCTCGTCCTCCTCCTGTTCAGGCCGCCAGTTTCCAGCAGGCAACTTCGTTTTGGGAGAGGCGCACTTGGAGCAAAACGATGATAGAAAGGGTCTCAACGAGCGCGTTAAGAATCCACCATCACCCGGGGACCCGAGGTCCAAGGGCGGCTGCTCTCGCCCCAACACAGGGGCAGCAGGAGGGGCACAGCACCGTCTCAGCCAGAGCCACGCCGTGCGGTCGGTGGGTGCGGGCTGGCGGCTGCCGGGGTGCGGGTCTCAGTGCGGCGGGCGCCCCGAGCGCGGCCCCTTTAAGGCCGAGTGTTTCCTGCGCCTCTCGCAGAGTCACCCCGCGCCGCTGGGGAGCGGCGTCACGTGGGGTGCAGTCTTGTGACCGGCCGCGAGCGCAGCGGCGCGGGGCGCTCGGGGAGGGGCTGCCCGCGCGCCAGGGGCCGCTCACGCACCTCCCCCCTCCCCTCCCCTCCCCCCCGCCGGTGCCTCGCGCCCGGCCCCGAATGCGCGGGGCGCTGCCGGCGGGGCGCTCGCGCCGCCGCTGAGCTCCGGCGGCCCCGGGCGGGGCGGAGGGGCGGCGCCCGCCAAGTTGGGCGCTGAGGCGAGGGCGCCGCTTCCTCATCGCCCTCCCGGCGCTCGGCGCGGCTCCGCGGGCAGGCAGCGCCGCCGCCCCCAGCATGGACAACAAGCCCCTGCTGCAGGAGCGGCCCCCCGCCTACAGCCCCGCCGCGCAGGGCGCGGGCTACGACTACGGCCAGAGCAACTACGGCGCCATCCCCGCCCCGCAGCCCGGCTTCCAGCCGCCCCCACCGTACCCCTACCCGGGCGCCGCGGCCGCCGCAGGTGGGTCTGAGGCGGCGGGGGAAGGGCCGGCAGCCAGCTCGGCGGGGTGCGGGGCCCCCGGTGTGCGGGAGAGAGCTTGCGCCGCGCTGCCCCTTTCTCTGGGACGGGGGGCGGCTGTAGGGAGGTCCGTCCCCCCCCTCAGCCCAACGACGGGACGGGTTGGCGGTGGGGTGCCCCGGAACTGTGGGGTAGGGCTGTGGCCTGCGCCGCTGAGGGACTGCCCGGCAGAAGCGGGGACAACGGGGGAACTCTTGAGCCTCCTGCGTGGGTCTTCTCTGTCAGCAGCGAGGCGGTTGGAGCCTCTCGCCTTTCACGCTTAAAACCATCGCAGGGAGGAGGTGCGGAGGGGATCCAGGTGTTTAAAAGCGCCATCTCCCGCCCCCCTCCTTCCTTAGGTGCTTCTGAGGTGAAACGTGTTTGTGTGCTGCCCTCCCGAAAATGCGACCGACTTTGCATGTGTCCCTCCGGTGTGGGGGTTTCTGCTCAAAACAGTAACAGAGGCACAGCTGCGCTAGCAGTGAAACAGACCCCAAACCTGCACTTTTCTTTTCACACACTTCATTGTACTCTGGTTAATGTTTGTTTTTTCCTGGTACACTTAAGCAGTCTTGCAGAGGCTTAAGGAGGTGAGTAGGTACAGTACTTCTCTTAACCGAATTAATGCTGACCTCATCAGAGAAAGAAGTAGCCTCTTGCGGAAGAGTCTGAAGTTGTGGGAATGCTTCAGAAGTCACAAAAAATACACAGCAGACATAGCAGATCTTGCAGTTAGCAAGCGTTGGCTTGAATCTTGAGCCTATAGGTTAACTTTCAGTTAATACCTTGGAACTTACTTTCCTACAATGCAAATATTACTGACTATTTTCAGGTTAATTATAAGTAGGGAGGATGCTAGACTTTACTGATGCATAACGTGGCTCAAGAAAATCTGAGAACTGTTCTCTGGGAGAGAAGCTCAAAACGACTCATAAGTGGGCAGAGTGTACCTCGACTGCAGGATTACACTGCACACATCTAACTGTCCCTTTAAAAAGCTTTTCCGTTTTTTCCCTTTTAAATTTTAATGTCAATGCAGTAGTTAAAGGATTGTGTCTTCTTGTTCACTGGCTGACAAGGGGGTTTCTGAAAGTTGTTTTCTTTTTTTCTCTACGATATGCAGCTTGCTTCTTTTTCACTTGAATCCTATCACTTTTATCTCTCTGTGCAGTTAGAAACTTAATAGGTTGAAGTTAAGCTGGAAACCAGAGGAAAATTTATCCTGTTTAAACTAGTTTGCCCTCTGGAGTGGGACATATCTGATACATAACATCCAGAAATGAAAGCTGTGGTCGTTCTCTGTTTAATCTGTTTTTTCCTGGTGCTTAAAGAGCATTGAAACAAATTCATAAAGTTAATTATTAGCTCAGTGTCCTTTTTCAGTGGTTAAATTATGTTAGATACTTGGGTTTATGAAGTGGCTTTGCTATTAGATTTGCTGAGTAGTGTGTTCCAACTCTGATATTGATAGAGCTTCTTCAGGTCCTCAGCTGAGACTACATTTCTCTTTATTTTTCCACATTCTGTTTGCATACTTTTTAATCATGATCATTGTTCTTTGTGCCTTACATGTGGTGATTGAGTTTTTTTCCTTATTTTAGGGTATGCTGTTCCTCCACCGACATCACAGCCAAACTATTCGAGCACGTACACCATTATTCAGCAGCCTGTTGCTACCACTTCTGTCGTAGTAGTTGGTGGCTGTCCTGCCTGCAGGTAAACAGTCTCTCTAGTTGGTAGATCAACTCAAGTCTTGGGTTGATTGCAGGCGTTCATGCAGTTCTTTGCTTTTCAATACTTTGTGTGTGTGATCAGAATTTACTTGATTGACAAAGCACAGATTTAGCAATGGAGTGCTTTGATTTCTGTAGCATGAGCTTGTCCTAATGGGCTCATGACAATTACTATAATTGATACAACAGACTTTATATATAAATATGAATCTGCTTTTTATGATGGAGGAAGATCATAGAATCATAGAATAGTTAGGGTTGGAAAGGACCTTAAGATCATCCAGTTCCAACCCCCCTGCCATGGGCAGGGACACCTCACGCTAAATCATATCACCCAAGGCCTCGTCCAGCCTGGTCTTGAACACTGCCAGGGATGGAGCATTCACAACCTCCCTGGGCAACCCATTCCAGTGCCTCACCACCCTAACAGGAAAGAACTTCCTCCTTATATCCAATCTAAACTTCCCCTGTTTAAGTTTGAACCCGTTACCCCTTGTCCTGTCCCTACAGTCCCTAATGAAGAGTCCCTCCCCAGCATCTCTATAGATCTGTAAGTGGTATTTTTAGTTGAAAAGTACTCTAGTAACAGATGTAAAGGGTCAGTTCTTGGGGGAGAGGATGACAGGAAGTCCTTTGTTATGCCAAGTGATAATGTGTGGCATGACTTTATATTGTGAAACTTTGTAATTGTTGACCATAGTCACTTCTGGTGATCTGGCTGTCCTGTGGAAGGGCTTCTGCTGCTGTGGTGTGTGTCCCCAGTACCAGCATCCAGACTGTGCAAAACCAGGCAGGGTGATGGTCAGTATTGGTTGAAAGGATCAGTATCTTAAGGCTTTAAAAGATCTCTTGCTTTAAAAATCCTTTTACTGCAGAAGTACAGGGAGATTACTGGGTTTGATTCAAAGTGTTAATTTGATGAAGTAGTAAAAACCAGAAAATGTGGTCAGCTATTAGTGGGAATTGCAAAAAAGGAAAACTTACCCTTCAGAGATCAACAGCCATAAGAAAAGGGAAGGAGGCATTCTGTTTCCACACAAGTGCGGTAAGTCAGCTGTAGTCCCTTTCGCTTCTCAGTTTTGCTCATTCCAGGATATTAACTAATGGTTGAGGGCAGCCAGATTGCTGCTGCTGCAGTTCAGACACTGGTGTGCTTGGTCAGCTCTGGCTCAAGTGCAGAATCATTCCCCTTGTGTAAGAATGTATGGGAGTTACCCTTGTGGCATCTTGCCAGGAGGCACTTCATATTCTGCAGGTCTGAACCCTTATCCGTTTCAAACTGTGTAGGAAACAGACTTGCTAGATAGCTGAATGGTGAATGTGATAGATTGTTGTAGTGGCACAGGCTGCCCCAGGTGCCTTTCGGTTTTGCTAGAGATGGTATTTGAGAGTCACTGCATCCCTCGAAAGGTGGATTCAGGTAAGAAGTATCTTGTGGAGCTGTGTAAAAACAGATGCCTGCTGAAATACCACTGCTTAAGGCTGAAAAACCTGTACCAGTTAGCATTTTTGGTCTAGAAGATGTGTGTTTCAAACAGTGAGGGATAGTAACCACTGAGCTGTTCAGAGGATGTGGTGGATCCTGCCACATGACTGGCATTAAAATGCTTATGCTTTAGCTCAGCCAGAAGACAGAAAATATTTTATGTGTTGCTTGGTAAAAGGCAGGCAGTGTATTTATACTTCTGTCCCCAAACTCAATAAATCTGAAAACATTATACTATGGAAGTGGTCTGTGCAGTAACTTGGTAGACTCTTGCTGCTATTCTTGGGATTTCTTTTTTTTCCTGGGAATTATCCTGGAATGCTCTAGGAGACGCCTTTGAGACAATCATTTGCAAGTATCCTTGAGCCAAATATGGGAAAATGAGCACTCTTTTATAAGGCGTTTTTAAGTGGCCTCACTTGAATAGTTTTCTAAAGGTCATCAGGCTTGCTCTGGTGGAGGTATTAATTGTGGACTCTTTCTTAAAGCAAAATACTCTCCATAGAAACCTTGTTTACTCTTGGAACCTCAGGTTTTGGATTAGGCTGTGAAAAAAAAGTTGTGAGGAGCCCTATGACATGTTGATTACTGTGAGGCATAATACTGCACTGCTGGGACTGTAGGACTCTTCCCAGTACTTCTGAAATATTCTTGGTTGGGAATCCCAAGGATGAATAACTACCTAGTAATGGTGGGTCAGTCTTCTCTGCAGTATCACTATGTTTTTTTCTTTATTGTCTAAAGAGGAAGAGTCAAGTGTCAAGGTAGAAGCAAAAAATTCTCAGCTTGCTTGCCTTCTGACAAGTAACAAGTCTGCTACTTCCAGAGAAGTGACGGGGACGCTGTGTGGGAAGCGTGATACTAGAAATACTCATGGGAACCTGAAGGGTCAGGGTTCATGTTCTGGAAGGTTACACTGGCTGCTTCTCTTAAAGAAAGAGCTCATAATCCTCTTTGACTTCTCAAGACCTTAAACATAGTTCTGGTTTTACTTCCTTGGCCTGGAAACCTATTTTATAAAGAATGCAGTGTGCAGCTACACTCTGAATACAAGACTGAGCAGAAAAGT